ATGTCTTTTTCAAGTTGTGAAGTTGTGTTTCAAGTGCGCTATAATATCGAAAAAGCCGTTATATAAAATTCGCCTCATAAATGCTATCAGAGAAAAACTACAACCCTGATTACCATCTACTTCTGCAAAATGGAACGCTGTCCTGATCTAGACCGCCAAAAATACCCTAAACCCTTTTTTTTTTCTAAAAACACTCATTTAGTGGCTTTTAGTCTGTTTAAATGGTTGATCTGGACCACTTACAACCTGAAGGGTGCTGAATGAAATTTATCGGACGGATCCTGGCCGCTAAAATTCCCTAGTACGAATCGTTTGCAACAATAATACACTTAGAGTGTAAAATTTGGCAAAAACAGGCCAGTATTTTTCATGGGACTAACATAAGGGCGTTTGAAATGTCAAGCAAATGTTTTCGCGGAACACTGGTTCAGTTCACCCATGCTCTATAGCGTTGGCTGTGCATAGCTAGCAGAGAGTTCAAACTGATTGATTTAATTTCCCAACAAAGGTCTCAGTTATTCTGCTAATTAACTTACTAATATGAAGATTAAAAGCTAATATTAACATCACAGTACCTATTTCCTTACCTTATTATAAGCATGGGAATTAATATTTCTAACTCCATTACTATTGTCCATGTAAGTCTTAACTTGGTTGTCGTTCGTAATGGTCGCAATCGGCCCGTGGGGGCACTGTTTTCGTTTGATGTTCTTTTCACGTTCTTTGATTAAACTGAAAAGTCAAAAATTAGATTAACAATCTTCACCGATATTGCCAATATTTTATATTATACCTTGGGAATTGGGGCCCAAACTGTGTGTAGCAACAATTATGCCAACAACCTCTAGAAAATGGATTAAACCCCCCTTTAAATTTGCCTGTGACCTGCTCATTAGTCGTTCTGCCTCTAGCCACCAGCACCATGTGAAAACCCGTGAGTCCGAATATTGGAATTGCTAGGAGAGCTACTACACAAATTAATATCATTCTGGAAAATGTACTTAAGGACTTTATTCACTGGATCGTTTAATAGTGATCACATCCAGAAAACTAAATCTAATTACTATTATATGTATAACGTTCGTTAGGTCAAACAGGACAATATCTAAAGAAAAGAATATACGAACATAAGTATAGCCTAAGAAAAAATAACGAAAATGGTACAGCATTAGCACAGCATGCACAACAGAGGTTGCATAATTTTGATTTTGATAACACAAAAATACTGATTAACGAGAGTAATTATAATAAGAGAAGAGTCCATGAAATGATACAGATTAAAAAACATAACAGTGCTATGAATTTCAGATCGGATACCGATCTTACCTTAGCTCAGTATATCATACATTAATTAAATGAAATAAACATAGAATATTAACTAACACCCGGTATATTGAAGAATTTTGCAAACCAAAAATAATATTCTCAGAATGCGAAGAAAAACAGCTGAAAGTAAAAGAAATCAATATAAACAGTATTTCGCTTTGTGTCCAAAATGGACAAAATTAATACTCCAAATGCATGCCAAGGCTTAAAGCAGCAACAACGCTACACATGTAAGTAAAAATATTTAAGTATCTGAAC